AATAATAATTTTTTAAACCTGGTCACTTTGTGGTCTGCCTAATCTGTATAAATACTGCTGGATTGGGACCACATTTCTTAACATATTAGGATTACAATAATTCAGCCAATGTAGAACTGCTGTTCTACCCTACCCACTCAAATATTCATTCTAGTCTACGAAATTGTACCGTTTCAAAAACTACCAATGCACCAACTGTTTTTATACTTAGAAGAACAAAATCTGATTTAAAAAAAAAAAAGTTTGACTTTTAAAACACAAAAGTAAATCTGCCAGGTTATGGCTTCCAAATTCTCTAGATGCAATCTCATCTCTCTCCTTCTATGTTGTTTTTTAGGGACTGAAATTAAAGCAGGTCATTCCACTATGAGTTTAACAGCTGTCTTAGGAGCTGGTTTAAATCATTTGTTAAACACTAATATTTTAAATTTATAAACTTCAGAAGGAAGATAGCTTTTGAAGCTGGAAAAAGAGTCAGAGAACAGTAGTCTTTTTTTGTGTGCTGCCCAGAAATTCAGTCACAGAGTGGTCCTATTGTGTTTCTCATAATTTACATTTACTTTTGGCAAAGCAGAAAGGAAAAAAATAAGTCAGACTTGAAGGTGTACAACAAAACTGAGAGATGGCTTTTTAAAAAAAAAAAAAATTTAAACGTACCTTTGACATTTAGATATCAACCAAGCCAATATTTAACATTTATAAAAGACAAAACAGTAAAGAAGCTGCAGCTGTTCTCTGTGACATCACTGAACAGGTGTGTGGTGCCCATCACACCACAAAAACTGGATGGATCTCTTGGGGATGCCCACAGAAAGCCCGGACAGAACTGGTATTGACAAGGGACTCATCTCCTCAGATCTGGCCAGAAAACAACCGGGAATGACAAGAGTCCTGGTGACCAACCTGGGCAAATTCGGTGCAGACATTCTCCCAAACAGATCAATACTATCCAAGGTGCAGCTGAAAAACAGGATGGGTTTGTACCGCTATGCAAACACTGGAGCTGCTTATGCGCAAGACCAAAAGCAATGGGAGCTTGTGTTTTCCACAGTGTGTTTGCTAGTGACCTCAACCCTGACCTCCAGGGCCACCCTCTCTGGGGCTAGAAGTAATCTTGTATTAAGTCTTCTGGCCACAAGGGAAACCTATGGAGTGGTGGCGTTTTTGACAAGGAGAGCTACTGTATCTGTATTGGCCGAGCCAGACAATTACACGATGCCAAAATGACTCATCAGTGCAGCCCAGTTAGGAAAGTGGGTGACCGGAGTATTCAATATAACAAGAAGAAAAAGAAAAATAGGGATGGTGGCACACGCCTGTCATCCTAGCACTGGGAAGGTGGAGACAGGAGTTCAAGGTTATGCTCAGCTACATAGCAAGTTTGAGGCCAACCCAGATTACATGAGGCCCTGTCTAAAAAGGCAAACAAAGAAAACTTACCTTTTCTCGTTCAATTTGAAATGTGGGTATGTCTTTGATTAAATTAATTTAAGTAGTTTTTATGGTACACATATTTATATTTATATGTGTATGTGTGTGTGTGTGTGTTTGCTTAATTTTTGTGGCTAAACCAAATACTTTTATCCAGATAAATATGCTTTTAACTCCCTCATATGGTTTGTTTTTTAATTTCCATTTAGCTTGATAAACAATATCACCCTCCAAAAAGGTAACATTCCTTGATACTTGTATGATCCTTTTATATCAGATTGTGTGTTTACATAAATGAATAGTTAATTCTAATAAGTGCATGCAAGGTTTATCAGTGTTTTCACTGATTAATATTTTATAGGGGGAATTATAATCCTTACAGCAATATTTCCAAAAACAGCAGAGGAAATAAACTGAATTAAAATGTGGTCCTTGTTGTATGACAAAACTTTCCATGGGGAGATGCAACACACATCTCTACTCACTCCAGTTAGGGATCCCATAACAGAACAAAGGAGAGATAGCACCAATGTCCAACCTGGTGAATCAATGAGTTTTATTGGGGTTACTTAGAGGAGTATGGGTGAGGAGCATAAATGACTCAAAGACAGATGCATCACCATTGTCCATTCACAAAAATTCACAAAAACTGGGAAACCTGGAGCACACTGACAGGGTAGAGAGTGTCCTTTCCAAGTGACTATGGTCTAAACCTCTTCTAAGTAGCTCTGCAAAGTTCTGCATCTCCCAGGCAGTTGCTCTAATCTTAGAGTCTTCATTCTTCTTTGTAGTTCCGGCAGGGAGGAGCCTAGTAAATCTGGTCAGTTTCAGGGACTTCCTGAAGCTCTTTTGAGTTGGTTGCCTTAAGCATAAGGAGCTTCCTTCGGGATAGAATGTTTCCATCCTCACTGTTACACAACAGTCCTGTATTCATCTAGGCAAACTGACCTCATCTAGGACTCCAAAGAGATGACTCAGGGGTTAAGAAGGTTCAGCACTTACACAGCTCTCAGAGATTACCTCGGTTCAGTGCCCAGCACCCATTATGATCCGTCTTCTGGACTCCTTGGAATCCGAACTCACAGGTGTATAGGCAAAATTATTTAAAAAATAATAATCTTTTTATAAAATAATCTACAAGTGGGCAGAAGTATAATTTGAACATCTTACAAGGTCCCAATATTGGAAAGTTTGAGAAAGTCCCCTCAACATACAAGGTTGACTGATGACTCAAGACCAAAAGATGTGTTTAAACTGGAAACAAATATAAAAGTCTGTAATTATGTTTCAATATTAAAGACATTTTTAGTGCCCATTGGTAGCCATAAGATTCAGTCCTCTACCACCTAAGATCTCTGCATTTAGATTGTGTAACTTATTATCCAACTCCAGATATACACTTTGATAAAAGTCTAGCTAAAACAGAAACTAGGTCTTTTGCTGGCAGAAAAAAAAATGTATGGGATGGAGAGGGGACAAGTTACAGTAATTGTTAGTTTCCTTTAGGTAGGATTTCTCTGGAATAGGGGTGGGGGCATTTGAAGGGGGGGACAAACTTTCGGTCTAGCGCATCACATTATAAGCATCTTTGAGAAAAGAAGAAATAATTCAACTTTGAAATTCTGCCATTAAGTGGCGGCTTCTGCAAGGGGACAGTTTGCTATTAATTGTTAATGTCGCCTACCATTAGAGGGCACTAAACAACTCCACATTAATGCGTTGGAGGAAAGAGAAAAGGAGGCGAGGAAAGGGGAGGGAGAGTATGGGCAGAGTCCGGGGAGAGGGAGGGGAGACAGAAGCCGGGAAGGGCTGGGAAAGAGAGAAGAGGGAAGTGGGAGGAGGGAGAAAAGGCCAGAAGAGGAAAGAGACAGACAAACAGGCAGACAGACAGAAACAGACAAAATGAATCTGGAAAGGTTAAGAAGGATGTGGAGCCCCAGAGCCGTCTAAAGTGAGCAAAAAGCCCGGGCCACCCACTCCCCTCCCCTCTCCTCTCGTCCTCATGACTGTAATTATAAAGCGAAAAGCGGCGGCGGCGAGGTCACTCGTTTTTACCAGCCTGCTGCACCGAATGCGCGCGGTGCAGGTGCGGCGGCCGCGGGGCTTTGTGATTCATGCCCACTTTCAAAGGGGGGCTTGGGCCCGTCTGAGAGGCACCCAAACAACTGTCTTCTAATATTAGCACGGCTGTATTTCGGGATCTATTATAGTCTGTCCAGACAGATCCCATTGTAATGGGATCTTTTATTAAAAGATTAGCACTATCTCCTGCAGTTGGTGGAAAAAAATCTGTTATCACTGAGTTATTTGCAGTTGTGGAGGGGGTGGGAGGAGGGTGATGGAAGATGGGGGTGGGAGGATGAGAGGAGGACCTGAGGAGGGTCGGAGGTGGGGGGCGGGGAGTGTAGGGCGGGGGTAGAGAAGAAGGGCGAATTTGAAATCCGTAGAACAAATCCCAATGACCTGGGAATGTCCAAGAATTTTTGTCTGCATAGTTCTCCTGTTTGTTGTCGTTCGGGCTTCAGAAGCGAAAAGAATAGGAATTAAAAAGGCAGCTTTGAAATAAACAATATAGCATTTTCCGTGAAGTAATCGTTTTATATAAAAGGAAATATCGCCTCCTCAGTTTCATTCAGCCGTGCCAGAAAATGTTATAAATGAGAAGACCCGCCAACTTTCGGCGAAGAATGCCAGGCATTGCACTCAATAAACCGAAGCTGCAGAAGTTCATTATCATGGTGCAATCGTTTTTTTTTTTTTAAATATGAGAGAGAGAGAGAGAGAGAGAGAGAGAGAGAGAGAGAGAGAGATTGAGACTCGGGACAGAAACTGGGGCGTCTCAGAGCGGGGGGAGGAGGGGGGCAGACCGCCTACGTCGGCGCCCCCGCTCGGGGCTGCGACTCCAGACGCGGCGAAGTGAAAGGGGAGAAAAGAAAGGGAGAGGGCGAGACTGCCGGGGGGCGGCCGGCTCCGAGGTGTTAAACATTTTTGTTTGCCTCTGACTTGTGGAGAGCCAGGGCCGCGTCTCCGCAGCGCTCCGCCTGGGTGGAAGATGTCCGGGGTCGGGGTCCTTAGCAACCACTCCAAATTGGGGGGACTTGGAGGCGGGGAAGGAGCGGGCACGGTGGCCGCAAAGTAAGACACTCAAGAGACCCCGGGACACAAAACGTCGCCGGGACCCCGCGCCAAGGCTCCAAGGGGAGGGTCCTGAAACTGTCCCCCGGGGCATTTCAGAAGCTCCGGGATCCTGCGGCATTTGAAGAAGTCTCTCTGGAGCCCTGGAGCAAAGGTGCCGGGGGCCAACTCCCGGGGTCCCCCCTCGCGCCGCTGGGCGCCTCCTCCAGCGCCCTCCTCACTCACACGCGCACACGCACACACGCGCGCACACACACACTCGCACGCCACCCCGGGCGCGCCGGCTCTGAGCGGCGGCGTGCAGGACTGGTGGGTGTTCTCCACCCCCGAAGCGTCGCCCCCAGCCCCCCCCTCCCCGTCCCCACCCCTCCCGCTTCTACGCAAATAAGAACTCGGCGATTCCCCTCCTGCCTCTTTGATTTCGGGCACCTCCGACAGATAATTGGGAAGGGTTTCCAGAAGGTGGGAAATGTCACCTGATTCACACTGAACTTTTAAAAGCTCCCCACCCCCAAAGAGTCGGCACACCCTCGGTCGCAGCCGCCCTCCCACAGCCCCACACACTGGGAGACCGCCCACCTCAAACCTTAAGACCCCCGTCTAGATTTAAAGCGCGGCTGCGCCCGGCTTCTGACGTCCATTGAATCGCGCGGGCGGCCGGTGGCGAGCGCGGGGCTGCGCCAGGATCGCTGCGCCCTCCGCCGCTCGCTCTGCGACGCGCGCCGCTCGCCCAAGCCACCCGCCGCCGCGCTCCTCGCCCAGCGCCTGCCCCAGGATGGTCTGCGCCAGGCACCAGCCCGGCGGGCTCTGCCTCCTGCTGCTGCTACTCTGCCAGTTCATGGAGGACCGCAGCGCCCAGGGTGAGTGGAGGGGGGATGCGCCCGGAGGCTCGACTGGGGCAGGGGTTCTACTTTTCTGTCGTCTCGACTTGGTCTGTTCTGACCGACGCTGCTCTCTGAAGACGTTGGAATCACTCGGCTACTCCGGGAGAAGAGGGAAAGGGTTGAAGCAGTGACACTTGAGGATAGAGAACAGAGTTTAGAGCCGGATTATCCTCCAAAAGGAAAGGGCCTGAGTTGGGGAGCTGGAATCTCACTAGTTAGGGCTAGATGCTCCAAGTTCTGGCCATAATGACTTTAGATGTTATCTCCCCTTGGTTGGCTCGGGAGAAGGGCAAGCATCCGTCGCCTGGAGATTACAGTCGACCTCTTAGCAATCTAACCTATCTTCCTTCCATATCTTTTGGTGACTTTAAAAAAAAAAAAAAAAAAGACTTGGGTGGGGGATGGGTGATACCGAATTTTCTTGGGTGGCTGGGGGACGTGGTTTCAGAAACTTTGCCCAAACTTGGAAATGTGGGTACTGAGATTTTTAAAGGGACGTAGTGTTGGTGGATGCTCCTTCCACCCCTCTCCCTAAACCCCGCGAAAAAGGAGAAGAAAAGGGACACGTCAAGTTATTAGCCCCGAAGTGGTTTAAGGACTTTGCAGTTTTCTCCACTTTGCCTCGTTCATCCTGTTAACTTTCTGTGGAACGATAAGCAGTCCACGAGCGATTTAAATTCTGACATGGATTAAAGAGCACATTTCTTGAAGTTTAGCTTCTAAAATTCTAAAAATGGATTTGTTTTATTACAATTAGTCTCCGGGCAGGATTTTTTTTAATAGTGGTGATCGTGCAGCTTGCGCTCCAGTTGCTCGAGTCCCTTCGGTGATTCATGAGAAGTCTTCTTGTCCAAAGTCCGAACGCATAGGAAGGGTTAGGGGAGGAAACTATTAGCAAAGAGTTCTTGGTAGACATGAGGTAGGTATATGTGACCCGGTGGACACCTCCCCCTCGCCCTAACACTGCTGCTTTGCCTGTTAGAGCGGCAAGGTTTTGTGTGTTGTAAGCTGCCCTCCCGGGCACTGGCCCTAGCCGTCTGCCCGACACTAGGCTGGGCAGCCCGCCTTTCTGATAGGGGCGCTGCCTGGGTGCCCGGACGTGGGCGCCAGGGAAAGCAGCCCTCGGAGATTTCGAAAGATCGCGGTGGCTGCGGGCGTGCTCCGGGCTGGCCGATTGCAAAACGGGCCCGTCGGGCGGGCTGCGCCTCGAGGCCGCACAGGGCAGATCCAGGCTGGGCCCGGCTGCTTTTTTGCTTTCATTTTTTCACAAGTGTCTTTGGCTTGATCTGTTTCTGAAAATTCATATTCATTCTCCCTACCCCCTCCCTCCCTCGCTCCCTCCCTTTCCTCCCTTCCACGTCTCCTCTCTACTTTCTTAACCCCTGTCACAAATAATTCTCTTACCGCCTACATGAAACCAACATGTAAAAACATCCGTCGCATCCTGTTTTTGTCAGGTTCTTTAATCTGTTCTTCCAGTCGCTGCAGGTTATGAAATGGGACGAATAAAAGTAAACAGTCTAGTAAAAGTCAATGCAAGCTGCACGTGTTGTGTCTGGGTCACTGGTAACCGACATTGATATGGCTAGCGCGCTGCGGCGGCGGCTCTAACCCACCTCCCACCTCGGTGATGGGTCTTTCCCCACTCTCCCTTTGGAGATATCTCTCTCTCTCTCTCTCTCTCTCTCTCTCTCTCTCCCTCTCTCCCTCTCTCCCTCTCTCCCTCGCTCTTCCCCCTCCCCCCTCCCTTCATTGATCAGTTGGTCCCCAGACCCACCAGGCCTCTTTCCGGGCTCTAGCAGCCTTCCGTCCCCTACCCCGCTGCTCACTCATTCACCTCCTGATCCCTGTCTCTTCACAGCTGGTAATTGCTGGCTCCGCCAAGCAAAGAACGGCCGCTGCCAGGTCCTGTATAAGACAGAACTGAGCAAAGAAGAGTGCTGCAGTACCGGCCGTCTGAGCACCTCTTGGACCGAGGAGGATGTGAACGACAATACTCTCTTTAAGTGGATGATCTTCAACGGGGGCGCCCCCAACTGCATCCCCTGTAAAGGTGGGCCTCCTCTTCCCTAGGCGGCAGGCCCTCAGTAGAGGGCGTCTTGCCCTCAGTGTTCCCACTGCTTGGCTGGGGCTGAGGACTGGCAGAATTTTGTTCGGTTTCTCCACGTTTCCCCCGGTGGAGTTAGCTAGGTGGAATCCAGCTCGCGCTGTAGGCAAAACAAGGTCGGAAGAGGTCGGTCCCAGGCTTCTTAGCTGAGTGTGGTAGTGAAAGCGGCCAACCAGTGTGGTCTTTGAGAGAATTTGTATCCAGGACGTGGCCTGAAATCCCCAACCCCCATCCCTTCCAGTCTTCCAGTAGACAGCCTGGGGCCCTCCATTTCAGATGCAGGATTGCGCAAGGCATTTGAGACCACTACCCTACCCCCCCACTCCCCTACCCCACCGCCTTCAGATCCGCCAACTGCATGGCCTTGGTTTGAATCCCTGCCTCTTTCCAACTCCTAGAAACGTGTGAGAATGTGGATTGCGGACCTGGAAAAAAATGCCGCATGAACAAGAAGAATAAACCCCGCTGCGTCTGTGCCCCGGACTGTTCCAACATCACCTGGAAGGGTCCAGTGTGTGGGCTGGACGGGAAAACGTACCGCAACGAATGTGCTCTCCTCAAGGCCAGATGTAAAGAGCAGCCGGAGCTGGAAGTTCAATATCAGGGCAAATGTAAAAGTAGGTCCCACCCTTCAGTATCTTATACATTCATAGACCCTTGAAGACCCAAGGGGGATAGTACAGCTTCCATAAAGAGCCCGGGAATCAGAATAATGGTACCAAATAAAGGGGCTCCTTTCTAACTCCAAAAGGGTAATGAAGGAGCCAGCCTGGAGTCACAGATCCTCTGGGAAACAGCCGGGTTCCCCAAATGCCTGTTAAAATCTGGATGCCTCACTTTAATGATTTCCTTCATAACATCAAGCGTTTCCTCCCTAAGGACCAGAAGGTGCCTATTGAAATGTCTCCCTCTTTTTTTTTTCTCCAGAGACTTGCAGGGATGTTTTCTGTCCGGGCAGCTCAACCTGTGTGGTGGACCAGACCAATAATGCCTACTGTGTGACCTGTAATCGGATTTGCCCAGAGCCCTCCTCCTCTGAGCAGTACCTGTGTGGGAACGATGGAGTGACTTACTCTAGCGCCTGCCACCTGAGAAAGGCCACCTGTCTGCTGGGCAGATCGATTGGATTAGCCTATGAGGGAAAATGTATCAGTAGGTATTCTGGATTGAAGAAAGAAAAGAGACGGGAGAGGAAAAAAAAAATCTGTTCTGGTTGTGTGGGGCTCTTCAATGAGTAAATCCAAGTCCTCAGCTTGGGTGAAACTGTTTAACCAAAACATTTCTCCTCAAGCGCCATTGTCTTCTTGACGTATTGATGGACCAGCTAGAAGCAGAAAACAGTGTGTGTGTGTGTGTGTGTGTGTGTGTGTGTGTGTGTGTGTGTGATTGTAATAGAGCACCTTCATTACCCCCTTTAGTAAGAGATAATATGTATAATATGTGCATCTCCGAGCAGGGAATGGAAGAAAGGGAAAAGGGGAAGAAATGAGAGCCTTCAGTTTGCTCATCACAGGTGTATTTTATCCTAGAAGCAAAGTCCTGTGAAGACATTCAGTGTGGCAGTGGGAAAAAATGCCTGTGGGATTTCAAGGTTGGCCGAGGCCGTTGCTCCCTCTGTGATGAGCTCTGCCCTGAGAGTAAGTCTGATGAGCCAGTCTGCGCCAGTGACAACGCCACGTACGCCAGCGAGTGCGCCATGAAAGAAGCTGCCTGCTCCTCCGGCGTGTTGCTCGAGGTGAAGCACTCCGGATCTTGCAATTGTAAGTGTGATTTCTAACCTTGCTGCCATGTTAAGGCATTTCCAGGCAACCCTGGGGAATGGACACAGACCTTGCTGGGTAAACCTGTTTCTGGTAAAGCTAGGTAGCTGCTAAATCGCCAGCAATTCGTTGGTCCTCAGCCCAATTCTCTGCAGTGTTTCCTGGCTTTTTAGGATCGACCCGATGGCCTACCATAGGGTGGCCTCTGAAAACCACTCTCCAGCTGTTTGATGCTCCTTCTTTCCTCCTAGTATTTTGCTTTGCTGTTGCCTCGTTAACACTGGAATCTAAACTAACTGCTTCAAAAGTTTGTGGGTTTCTTTTTTTCAAAGACAGCTTTATATTATCACACCTGGGCTGTGGCTTATCGCAGTCGCGGCTACTAACTCTGAATTAAGGAGAAAAGCAGTTATACCTAGAACACAAGAGCGCTTTTTATCTGATTTCAGGAATCTGCCTGTAAAACCTGAGCCATTGATTCTCCAGAACTTTCTGCAATTTTGACTTCATAGATTATGGTGGTTTGTTTGTGTGTGTTTAAGTAAACTTTATTGCGTAACTGCAGATGCCAACAAAACGCATCACACTGCAAGTCATGTAAAAAAAATGCAACGCTGTAATGCAGCTGTATCAGAGGGCTTTGAAAACGTACACTGAGCTGCTTCTGCGCTGTTGTTATCCGTGTTTAAACAACAGCTCCCCCTGTATTCCCCCATCTAGCCATCTCGGAAGATACGGAGGAAGAGGAGGAGGAGGAAGACCAGGACTACAGCTTTCCTATCTCTTCCATTCTAGAGTGGTAAACGCTCCACCAGTGTTCAGGGTTGACATAGCCTTTGGGCAAAACAGAACACAACAAGAGAAAGGGGGAAAAAAAAGGAAAAAAAAAGATAGATAAGAAAATAAGAAAAAATATATTGTGCATAATGTAAATAAGTGTATGCTTATTTATTTGGGGGGAAAACTATACATGAAAGGACCTTTGTCCTAAAGCTCTCTCCCGGGCCACATTGTTACTCACTGGGCATGGAGAGATTGTCATTTTGTGGTCTACTGGATGAGGCCTATAGTTGAGACTTGTAGACGTTTATTTATACTGTGTCATGTTTTATAATTTATACATAAAATGTCTGGTTGACTGTACACCTTGTTTTTGAAGAAATTTATTCGTGAAAGGAAGAGCGGTTGTTATTTATTGTGAGGTCTCTTGCTTGTAAAGTAAAGCCGTTCCCCCCCCCCTCGTAAACCATTGAAGTCCATTCCTAATGACCCACTCACTCATCTGTCTCCCTTCATTTCACTGCTGTTAGATTCTTTCCCACCTCTTAACAAATTTGCATGTCAGTTTCTGTCATGTTTATTTATTGGATTCTCAGCTGCCTACTCTGTACATACCTGATCCTTCGGGTTCTGTTTACAAGGAATCTTGACTGACCAAAAGGCACCGTAACTCTGCCTCAGATACAAGGTACAGAGGATATACATCTCGGAAGGAACGTCTGCTTCCGTGCCCTTGTTCTGGTGAAAACATTGTGAGAGAGGATGAGAGGCTTTAAGAATCGAGAAATGTACTTTTATGATGTTGCAGATCCAAAGATATAGTGACGTGGGGTGTCAGGAGACGAAAGGAAGGTGATCGTTACGCTTCCAACCTGTCATTCGCTGTTTCCTTTGAGGTAGTCGGCTGTACCTTCTCAATTAGTTCTTTTTCAACCAATGTGTCACTAAAAGTTCCATCAAAGCTTTATCAGTTCAAGTTTCTTGCTTTTCATAATACTTTTTTCTGATGCAATTTTATATTTTCAAACATGGCAAGTTAAATATAAATTCATTTAAATATATAGTTTTGTACTTTTCTACCATGTAAATGTGCAATGTATATAAAAGTTATAATGTGTATTTGTAAATAAATGATGAGTGAAAAAATAAAAAAAAATTAAAAAGCCAATGGTCTCAGTGTCTGTCAATGAAAAGTAACTTATTTTGGCTTTTGAGTAAAAAAGAAATGCACATGATATAGGGATATAGTTAGCACTGATCAAATGCTGAGAGCAATAGCTGCTGTAAAGTTGGGTAAAATACAAATCACCCAGTGCTGAAAAGGTGGCTCAGAGGTTAAGAGGGTGCAGTCCATCCACTTCCAGAGGACCCAAGCTGGGTTTCCTGTAGCTCCAATGAATCTGGTGCCCTCTTCTGGCCTCTGAGGGCACCTACACTCATGTGCATGTGCACGCACACCTTTTTAAAAAGTGAAAAAACTAAGTTACAAATCGGGGTTAGAGAGATGGCTCCACAGTTAAGAGCACTCACAGATGAGGCAGGGTTGGTTCCCCAAACCCTATATGTCTTACAATCGTCTGCTAACTTCAGTTCTATAAAATCCATCACCAGACATGTCCACGACATACACACATGCAAGGAAACATACATAAATCAATTTTTACAATTATCTTATTTGCGTGGATTTAATTATGCCTAAAGTTACAGGTGGTTGTGAGCTGCATTATGAATTCTGTGAACCAAACCCTGGTGTTCTGGTAGAGTAGTAAGTGCTCTTAACTGCTGAGCCATCTCTCCAGCCTTAAATACACACTTACAGGACAGGCATGTATCAACAGGCACTGTAGATGTGACTTCCTCCCTGAAGTACATCTACACTATGTATACTCTACACTGTGTATACTATGTATACTATGTGTAAACTGTATATACTCTGTGTATACCATACAGTATCCCTATGAGCACCTTCTCCTTACTGGTCCTAGCTGTCTTTTTTTTTTTTTTTTTTTTTTTTTTTTTTTTTGATTTTTCGAGATAGGGTTTCTCTGTGGTTTTGGAGCCTGTCCTGGAACTAGCTCTGTAGACCAGGCTGGTCTCGAACTCCCAGAGATCCGCCTGCCTCTGCCTCCCGAGTGCTGGGATTAAAGGCGTGAGCCACCATGGCCCGGTCCTAGCTGTCTTGTCACAACCATCAGTCCACTGTAGCCCACTGAACTCATCGAAGTCAAGCATGTTTCCTAGTGTTTAAGAGGAACATTTGCTAGAGAATTTCCTCAGCAATTAAAAGCACTTGCTGCTCTTCCAGAGGACCAGAGTACAATTCCCAGCACCCACATCAGGCAGCACATAGCTGCCTATTACTCTAGCTCCAAGGGATCTGATGGTCTTTCTGGCCTCAGTGCACAGCTGTATGCATGTGTGCACACTCAGACACACAGACATACACAAAAATAAAATTAAAAAGGCAATGCCGTGCATCCCAAGGAAAAGTAGAAACAGACTGATACATACTTGACAAGCACAGTCAAAACTCCAGTTACAGGTACTGGAATGGGAAGGATAGTGATGGGACATTTGGTAAGATGAGAGTGGAGATGACTTCCACCATGATGTCTGTGATCCAAGGTGGGAGGAAAAACCTGTCAACACATGGAAGAGCCCCAGAACGGTACTCAGACACAATGGTCTCTGTAAGACACAGGAATACATAAATCGTTACCACAGGTTTCTACTACCTCAGATTCCAAGCCTAAGCACGTTTAAAACATCAGTGAATGTCAGCTGGGAAGAAGTGAACAAAACTAGGAGGGAAGAGCCAAAAGCAACCAATATCTCCAGTGCTAAACAAGAATACTCTTTCAAATACCTAGGTCCTAGTTGTTATGTTTATCCCTTTCTCTTATGAGTGATTAGGAAAAATTACCATCAGAGACCATTGACTCTCAACTGGTCACCTAAGAAGAAATTAGGTAGGAACAAGGAGCCCAGAGAATTTGTCTCCCAGATTCCAGGAAAAGGGGAAACAGAGGTGCAGAAATCTAACCCATTCCATTAACCATAAAAAGAGGCTCTTAAATCCTCCAGGACAGACAAGCTCCTGGCTTCCACTAGGGAAAGCCTCTAAAGAGAACTGGCCAGGTACAGCTTCTTGAACCTTCCTGAAGTGGGTTTGTGACTTCACCCTGGGATCCTACACACTTTTAAAGCTGCATCAGCAATCAGGTAAAAACACTACACTTAGCGGGCACTGGTGTACCTCTCTGCCAGCAGGACTGGTAAATCAGACTGCTTGCCTTTTAAACAGCATCCAAGTTATGTATTTAAAATTGTGGTCCAGAGTTGTCAGTATCAACCGTGCCTCTTTTAGATACCCGTACCTCAAGTTCCTTCTCAGAGCGGCATACCTCCCACCAATCTTTCATTAGCTTCATTAGCACCCGCTCCTCACAAAAAAAAGGAAGAAAAGAACTCTGTGGATGAGCACTCCACCCCTGAGTTACATGCCCAGCTCTAGACATCTCTTTTCAAAGATTAATATTATTATTTTTGGAATTTCAACTATGACTGGAAACTATGGAACTTAAACTTTATCTAATAATAACATACAATTAGGAGAAACAGTCGCTAGTAAACAATCTTAATATTGGTTTGATACATCCTAATCTTTCCGAATTGCAAAATATAAAAAGAAAAATAAGTCAAAAGCCCAACTCTTGTCAAATGTCACTCAAATTTAGATTTTTGTAGACTATATGGAATATGCTTCCTGAAGGATGACAGAGATTAAATCTGCGTTAACTGAAATCACTCTCCAACAAGATAACTAAAGGGCACCTGCAAGACTGTACTGGACCTAAGAATGAGAGATGCTGTAAGGCACAGACTCAGAATAGTCTTCCATGGAAAGTTCTGTATCCACGCTAAATATGCTAAAACTGATTACTGTACTGCAACTATGTAAAAGACAGTCAGAAAAGACAGAAGTACTTAGGGGGAAGAGAAAATGTACATATAATCTTTAAGTGGCTTTTAAAGTACTCTGTTTCATCATAGTCTTCATATCTAGCATATTGGAAGACAGTACAAAAAGATGAAGGGAGTGTGTTGCCAACAGACAAGTCACAGTAAAAGCCATAGGCATTTTAGTGCTATTATTTTTGACAAATTTCCTGTATACTTGAAACTATATACAAATAAAAACTTAAGACTTAAAAAAAATTCTCAGGAAGGAAAGGTACACAGCAGAAAACTACCCATTCTCCACAGAAGCAAGTGATACAAAGTCATTTTATAAAATTTCATGGCAACCCACTATTAGGTGAGATGACCCAAGGGTTCAGGAACTTGCAGCCAAGCCTCATGGTCTGAGTTCGATCCCTGGAACCAGCTTGGTGGAAGAGAAGAACTGACCCTGAAGAACTGTCCTCTTACCCCTGCACACACGCACTCCCTGGCAAGACAGCACCCACACACTTACACAAACAAACAAGTGTAATTTTATATATATATATATATATATATATATATATATATATATAGAGAGAGAGAGAGAGAGAGAGAGAGAGAATGGTATGACAAAAGGTCTTGAAAACAATACCATTGAGTCAGAAATTTGACTTAAGTATACAATGTTGGCACTAAGAGAAGTCCTGAAAAATAAGCTTACCAAACTGAGAATCAACCTCTTCCTAAAAATGAGAGTAAAATGTTTCAAATACCCAACATTGCTGTTCTCCCCACTGCTTGCCATACAAACTGAACAACTCAACTCATGTAACCTTTCTGGGTCTCGATTTCCTTATCTCTGAAATCAGGATAATGAAAGCATTTATCTCACTGCAATGCCATGAGAATAAGAGACTGGAGATGCGTAAGTATAAAGCGTTGTTTTCAGTGGCTGGCGCCCCAAACCAACCATAAATAAGTTTCCTTCCTTAGTGCAATGATTACTATTTGCTTTAAAAATGCTATTGGGGTTATCATCCGAAAAAAATAATAAATGAGAAATGATACCAGTTGAGACCTGAAGTGGGAGCATAAATAATTTTTGAAGGAAGGGTAAATTAAAGTATTGTGTCCATGTTGGTATTTAACAAAACTTAACAATTTTAAGTTCTATAGCAAACACATATGATTTTCAAAAGTACAGATATTATTTCCAGTGAAATTTTATCAAAGGGAAATCGCTTGTCAGCTTTTCCAAAGCCCAAAATGTGCCTTGTATCTTTTTATTCACACACCCAACTTAATTCTTGCTAATAAATTTAAAAAAAAATCAATATCCTTTCATTTTAGTTCAAATCTCTGTATCAGGCTGGAGATCACTAAAGAGGGTAAGAGCTGACAGGTTCCAAGTTATCAAATATGTGAATATAAACTATGTAATTGCCAGGTCAGAAAGAAGCCTGTGGCCTAATGAAGCTCCTTTGTTCAAGGAGATTACTTTTTCAAAACCTGGCTCCCAAGATTGACGCATTTCTGCTGGTCCCATCCCACTTTCCATTCGCAGCACAACACAATCCTACTTCAGCCAAAAGTTGTTATGTAAATTGACTCCAGGCATGCTTGCCCTATGTAGTCAGCAGACCTGCCCAGACATGTCCAAATCCCAGCTTCTATTTTGCTGGAATCCCCCCATGAGCACTGGATGGTCACTGGGGTTTGCCATCCTTGGGCCTCAGACATCTTGGCTGGTGCCACCAAGATTCCTGTGGCAGAGTCCTTCAAACACTTAAAAACACACTCTCTGGATTAGAACAAATGTCGTCCTGGCAAAGCTATACTTGGTCATTTTTCTATTTTAAGAATATGGCCAAGGAACCAACTGGCAAGGCTAGTGGCTAGATATATTCCCACCAAACATCTCTTGTGTTCACTCCCCAAGGACTCAGGTCTCTGGCTACAGTGAGTAAGCTTTTCTCAAGAACATCGAACTCCAGCAAGAAGCCAGAGGAAAAAGATAAAATCCTGGGAAGGAAGAGGTTAGATATACTGTTTCCCATGGAAATTTGAGGGGAGAAAAAAAATCACTTACCCACACATATTTTTAAAACCAAAACCGTGCCTCTAAATTGAGTCCAGTTTAAAAAAATAAAAGAATTAAAGAATAAATTTTAAAAATGCCCAAATCATGATCACTCTCTATTTCAACAACAACAAAAGTCAATT